AGACTCTCACACTAACTTCGAAAAAGGTCAGCTAGATTTATATCTGTTGTATGTACTGGGGTTCTGTGAAGAGTTTTATTTAGGAAAAAAATTCTGTACTAAAGGAAAACTAAGTTTGAAAATCAGTGTTCAAAGTTATTCTGCATACCACTGCCAAACCAGCTCTGTTAAACACTTCTTGTTTTATAACTTCCCTTCTAAAGATCCTTCTCAATTACTACATTCAAATCTGTTTACACACTGGGAACATGCTGTGGGGATAATCATGCTTCCTACAATTATTCAACATCTATGTTCTCACCATTCTAGTCAACCCCACTGGCCCCTCAATATTATTGGTCAGTATTGTGTTCAGGCCATTCCATACATTGTCTTTACCTTACTTCCTTTCTTTGCTTTGCCTATTCAAGTCTGATTTTTGCTTCATAGCTCAGTAGCTCAAGTCTTAACTTCCTCTTTGTAACTTCATCTATTCTAGGCACAATGGATCTCACTCTTTCACCATATTATGGTGAATTTAGAGTCAGTATCTCCAAGTTTAGCAGCTAATTTTCTGTTTTACACCTGTTTTCTTAAGTAGATTTTAGGCCCATTGATGGCAGGGATTTTATTTTTTACAGTCTATCTATTACAAGTGATTGTGTACCACAAATAGCACATTAGCAATTGGTAAATAGGAGGCTGATGTCACAATAATGTGGAAATCTAGTTGATACATGTGTGCATTTTCTTAGCACTTTGCTTTGAAGTAACCAAGAGTAAACTTTCTCACAATTAAGAAGTCTTAGCAACGTATGAAGACTTTTAAGAAAAAGTCAAGAATCTTGCACAAGGCTCTGCCTTTAGCGTAAGTAGTGACTGGTTTAGTGGTTACAACCTGTAAATTTTCGACAGCATTAAACTATCTGGTGAAACTGTGAGTATTGATCACGAAGCAGTGACGACCTCTTACCATGTGTTTTTTTACTAGCTGACTACTCCTCAATTAGACTTTTAATTCTGATGAAAATGGCATTTATTAAAAGTAAATGTCCTTGAGGACCTACATCAGGAAGGAGGAAGCATGAAGGCTACCAGGCACTGGTGACTGTGATGCTGGGTGCAAACACCAGTGGAGATTTAACCACGTGTTTTTATTAGGATGGCTATTATTTTCATTAGTCCCCTGATTACAAAGTTGCATTAGATTTAAGTGGTCTTCCCTGACCGTATTTTTCCTATAAGCCTTGTGATTGTAGGTGTGCAATTTTTCAAAACAAAAAATTCTTTAGGAAAGACAACATGACATGATAGCACAATGTCTGGCGCATAACAAAAATCTGCATGGTACCTACTTTGGTGTTAGACACACAGTATATGCTTAGCAAATATTTGTTTATTCTTAGGTATTCTTTAATTCATAAATATTTTGCTGTGACCCTGGAAGTGGCTCTTATTTTTTTCTAATCCATGTTTCCTTTTATTTCTCTATGAATGTTGCAGATTCTACACTGCAGAAGGGAGACACAGAAAGCCAGAGGGATACTATAAAGATCATCAGAAACCTTCTGGGGTAATGGATGGCTCTAAGATCAGTTTGAAGAGGGAGCCTAACAGCCTTTTATCGCTCTTCTCTCCCAGGGCTGGCTTTTAAATGCTGACAGAATGCTGCATTCAAGAGAAGCCAGAGGGAGAGACCACAAGGCCACTGGGTCTAACATACATTTTTATTTATTTTCAGTCGGAGTCTCACTCTGTCACCCAGGCTGGAGTGCAGAGGCACAGTCCTGTCTCACTGTAGCCTCAACTTCTTGGGTTCAAGGTATTCTCCTGCTTCAGCCTCTTGAGTTGCTGGGACTACAAGCACACGCCACCATGCCTGGCTAATTTATTGTCTTTTTTTTTTTTTTTGTAGAGATGAGGTATTTTTATATTGCTCAGGCTGGTCTTGAACTCCTGGGCTCAAGCAGTCTTCCCACCTCAGCTTCTCAAAGTGCTGGGATTATAGGCATGAACCACCAGCACACCCAGCCATAACATATATTTTTGATACTCCAACTGATGGTGGTAGCCTTCTTCTTGCTTCAGTATCACAGAAAAGATGTCTCTCCATTCACCAACCTACTTGTGTGTTCCTGGAAGGTAAAAATAAAGGAATATAGGTGCAATGAGATCAGCCCTAGGACTGCAGTTGGTGAGGTGCTTGGTTCATAATCAATAGAAAAGTGTCTCCCTCTTAGTACCAGAGAGCAGTGGCTCCTTTCCTGTGCTAATTTTCAAGAGGCCAATAACCCTGATGCTTGAAGGAAGTGTTTTTGCTTGTTTTTAACTACTGTTTACATTCACATTAACATTTGGTTCAGCAAAATGCTGAAAAACATCAAGAATTAATACGGGGCTGAGATAACCACAATAAAGTTAAGTATAAGCCACATCAGGGACAGACTTTTTCACTTTTTGCAGAAAAGATTACAGATTTTTTTTTGAGTTGGAGTCTTACTCCGTTGCCCAGGCTGGAGTGCAGTGGCATGCTCACGGCCACCCCGGAGTCGACCTGCTGGGCTCTGGCAATCCTTCCGCCTCAGCCTTCCAAGTAGCTGGAACTACA